CCCCCCGGCCCCGCACCCCCCGCATCCCGCGCCGATCCCCGCAGGGCAGCGTGCGGGCTGCGCTCCGGGCTGGGCGCCGACCCCGGGCGGCTGCGTGGCGTTTTTCCCCTGGGCGCTGAGCTGGAGCCGCGCGGAGGTCAGCGGGGGGGCGAGGAGCCACCCGGAATGGGGGCACCGCAATGGCACCGCGGCGCCGCGGCCCCGTATCACAGTGGCCCCAATGGCCCCGTATCCCAGCATCCCCATATCCCAACGCTCCCATATCCCCGTGTCCCCATATCCCAGTGTCCCCATATCCCCGTGTCCCCATATCCCAGTGTCCCCATATCCCCATGTCCCCATATCCCAGTGTCCCCATATCCCCGTGTCCCCAATGTCCCCATATCCCAACGTCCCCATATGTCCCCATATCCCAATGTCCCCATATGTCCCCATATCCCAATATCCCCAAAGTCCCCATATGTCCCTATATGTCCCCATGTGTCCCCATATCCCCATGTCCCCATATCCCAGTGTCCCCATATCCCCGTGTCCCCAATGTCCCAATGTTCCCATATCCCAATGTCCCCAAAGTCCCCATATCCCAATGTCCCCATATCCCCGTGTCCCCAATGTCTCAATGTCCCCATATCCCAACATCCCCATATGTCCCCATATCCCAATGTCCCCATATGTCCCCATATCCCAGTGTCCCCATCACTCCCAATGTCCCCAAAGTCCCCAGAGTCCCCAACGCCCCCAACGCCCTCAACACCCCCAATGTCCCCAAAGTCCCCAATGCCCCCAACACCCCCAATGCCCCCAGTGTCCCCAAAGTCCCCATTGTTCCCAAAGTCCCCCGTGTCCCCAAAGTCCCCAGTGTCCCCAAAGTCCCCAATGCCCCCAGCGGCCCCAGTGTCCCCAATGCCCCCAATACTCTCAGTGTTCCCAAAGTCCCCAGTGTCCCCAAAGTCCCCAATGTCTCCAATGTCCCCACATGTTCCAAAGTCCCCAACACTCCCAACATTCCCGAAGTCCCCAATGCCCCCAATGCTCCCAATGCCCCCAAAGTCCCTAAAGTCCCCAATGTCCCCAATGCCCCCAACACCCCCAGTGTCCCCAAAGTCCCCATTGTTCCCAAAGTCCCCCGTGTCCCCAACGTCCCCAATGTCCCCAATGTCCCCAAAGTCCCCAAGCCCCCAATGCCCCCAACGCCCCCAAAGTCCCCGTGTCCCCAACGCCCCCAATNAATGTCCCCAACATCCCCAATGTCCCCAACATCCCCAATGTCCCCAAAGTCCCCAATGTCTCCAATGTCCCCACATGTCCCAAAGTCCCCAACACTCCCAACATTCCCGAAGTCCCCAACGCCCCCAATGCCCCCAATGTCCCCAACGGCCCCACTGTCCCCAAAGCCCCCCGTGTCCCCAACGTCCCCGCGCCGCCCGCAGTCGTTCTGCCGCCGTTTCGGCTCCGGCTCCCACCTGGCGTCGGTGCGCAGCGCGGCGGAGCTGCGGCTCCTGGCGGAGCTCCTGAACGCATCGCGCGGCAGCGAAGCCAGCGGGGAGGACGAGGACGAGGAGGACGTTTGGATCGGCATGTTGTGCCCTGCCAGGGTGGGTGGGACCCCCGGGGTGGGGGGGTGGGTGGGGGGGTGGAGGCCGGGGGTCCCGAAGCCGCGCTGTCCCCGCAGGGCCGCCCCTGGCACTGGTCGGACGGCACCGCCGTGGCGTTCAGCTCCTGGCACGGAACCGCCGCGCCGCGGAGGAGAGCCTGCGCTGCTCTGCGCCACGCTGCCGGTGAGCGGGGCGGGGGGGCATGGCACTGATGGCACGGCATGGCATGGCATGGTTAGCATGGAATGGCATGGCATGGCACTGATGGCACGGCATGGCATGGCATGGTTAGCATGGAATGGCATGGCACTGATGGCACGGCATGGCATGGCATGGTTAGCATGGAATGGCATGGCATGGTCAGCATGGCATGAGCAGCATGGCATGGGCAGCATGGTCAGCATGGCATTGCATGGCACGGCATTGATGGCACAGCACGGAATGGCACAGCATGGCATGGCATGGTCAGCACAGAATGGCATGGCATGGTGTGGTCAGCATGGTCAGCAGGGCATGGCATTGATGGCACAGCACTGCATGGCATTGCATGGCACGGCATGGCATGGTCAGTATGGCATTGCATGGCATGGCATGGCATAGCATGGTAAGCATGGCATGGCACTGATGGCACAGCACTGCATGGCATTGCATGGCATGGCATGGCATGGTCAGTATGGCATTGCATGGCATGGCATGGCATAGCATGGTAAGCATGGCATGGCATTGATGGCACAGCACTGCATGGCATTGCATGGCATGACATGGCATGGTCAGCATGGAATGGCATGGCATGGCATTGATGGCACAGCACGGCATGGCACAGCATGTCATGGTCAGCATGGTCAGCATGGCATGGCATGGCACAGCATGGCATGGTCAGCATGGCATTGCATGGCATGGCATGGCATTGCATGGCATGGCATGGCATAGCATGGTCAGCATGGAATGGCATGGCATGGCATTGATGGCACAGCACTGCATGGCAGGCATGGCATGGTCAGCTTGGTCAGCCTGGCATGGTCAGCATGGCACAGCATGGCATGGCATGGCATGGTCAGCATGGCACAGCATGGCATGGCATGGCATGGTCAGCATGGCACAGCATGGCATGGCATAGCATGGTCAGCATGGTCAGCATGGCATTGCATGGCATGGCATGGCATAGCATGGCATGGTCAGCATGGTCAGCATGGCACAGCATGGCATGGCATGGCATGGTCAGCATGGCATTGCATGGCATGGCATAGCATGTTCAGCATGGCATGGCACAGCACGGCATGGCATGGCGTGGTCAGCATGGCATGGCAAGGCATGGCACGGTCAGCATGGAATGGTATGGCACAGCACTGCATGGCATGGTCAGCATGGCACGGCATGGCATTGCATGGCACACCATGGCACGGCATGGCATTGCATGGCACAGCATGGCACGGCATGGCATGGCATGGCATGCTCAGCATGGAATTGCACAGCATGGCATGGCACAACATGGCACTGCATGGCATTGCATGGCACTGCATGGCATGGCCAGCATGGCACAGCCAGCACACGCCTTGCACACTCACACACACACACTGCACACTCGCTCACGCCTTGCACACACCTTGCACACGCTCACAGCCACACGCTACACGTTCACACACACACACAGCCACAACTTGCACACTCACACGCCTAGCACACGCTTTGCACATTCACGCCCACACGCTCACACCCGCAACTCGCACACGCGTTGCACACTCACACACTGCACACTCAAACATGCCTTGCACACTCACACTGCATGCTGGCACGCACCTTGCACACTCACACACACGTGCACACAAACACCCAAACACCCTGCACACGGCTCGCACATGCCTTGCGCATGCTGTGCTCACGCCTTGCACACTCACACAGACTGCACACACCTTGCACACTCACACACAATTCACACATCTTGCACACTCACAGCGACACACCATGCGCATGCCTCACGCGTGACTCTCACACCTGGACACTCACACATACCCACGCCTTGCACACTCACAGACACTGTGCACACCTTGCACACTCACACATACTCACACATGCACTCACACGTCCTGCACAAGCCTTGCACACTCACATTCTCAAACCCAGGCCTTGCACACTCACACGCACTGCGCACACCTTGCAAACTCACACGTACTCACACTCACACTCACATGCCCTGCACAAGCCTCACACACACACTCACACCCACACCCACACTTGCACACCTTGCACAGTCCTCGCACATGCCTCACACAGACTTTGCACACACCTTGCACACTCTGACATGCCTTGCACACACACTCATGCATAAGCACACACCTTGCAGGCTCACACAATCACACCCATGCCTTGCACACTCACACACACTGCACACACCTTGCACACTCACATGCACACGCACGCTTCACACAACTTGCACATGCCTCGCACACACCTGGCACACGCCTTGCACACTCACACATACAGGCACACTGCACACACCTCACACAGTCACACACACACACACACACCTGGCACACGCCCGGGACACGCCTTGCACACACCTTGCACACACACTCATGCATAAGCACACACCTTGCAGGCTCACACAATCACACCCATGACTTGCACACTGCACACACACTGCTCACACCTTGCACATTCACACAGTCACACATACACGCACACTGCACACGTCTTGCACACACCCTGCACACTCACACTCTCACACATACACGTACACTGCACACGCCTTGCACACTCACACATACACGCACACTGCACACACCTTGCACACGCCTGGCACACGCCTTGCACACTCACACATACGTGCACACTGCACACACCTCACACAGTCACACACACACACACACACACTTGGCACACGCCCGCGACACGCCTTGCACACGCCTTGCACTCGCCTTGCACACTCACTCACGCATACACTGTACACGCCTGGCACACGCCCGGGACACGCCTTGCACGCGCCTTGCACACTCACTCACGCATACACTGCACACGCCTGGCACACGCCTCGCACCCTCACACACTCACGCGCCTTGCACGCGCCTTGCACACTCACGGCCCCTCCCGTTGCAGACTTCCTGGCCTGGTCCGGCTCGCCGTGCGCCGCCCCCAAACCTTTCGTCTGCAAAGCGGCCTCGTGAGCCGCCGCCGCAATAAAACCTCG